AATCAAAATTAATTCCTGGGTTTCAGTCATTTATTGTCTCTATTTATCAATTAAAATACGTTTCGGTGTATTTTTCCACCATCATCAGTTTTCATTGGCATACATTTCGCAAAATGTATGCAAGGCTTAAAGCAGCAACAACGCTACACATAAAAACTGATGATGGTGGAAAAATACACCGAAACGTATTTTAATTGATAAATAGAGACAATAAATGACTGAAACCCATAAATTAATTTTGACCTGCAGACTCAATGGCTGGCCATCTTGAAAATTTTTATGCAGATTATTCCGCGCACAGCGACTTTTTCACGATCTCGCATCGACTGATCGATGGCTTATTGTATGCTAACGAAATGAGCCCGAATCGTTTTTGTCGTCACTTCTTTAATTCATAAATTACCGTTAACGATCATTTCACTAATGAAAGAATCTCGACCAAGCACTGCTAATATTAATGAAGAAATAAAACTCGAACTTACCACTTAGGGACGAATTCTTCAGCCTGCTGAAACAATGGGAAGTTAATGAATAATGCGCCAGTTTTTCTTCGGGTTTGGAAATTGCATTTTCAAAATTCAGGACTGGACAAGACCAAATGTAAACTTGTGCTTTTATAATCAGTTTTCATCATTGATTTATGGAGGCCAGTTTTTAATTAGTGCACAAACTAATGCGTATATGACATTAAAATGCTGCTAAAAACTAATTTAAAATAAATAATATACAGTGACGATCAGTGCCGGGTTTAAGGGGGCACTTTAAGTCTTTATCAGTTATTTCCAGATGAGGTTCAAGACCGACAGTTTATGAATTCCAAATATTTCGATTCAGAAAAAAAGCTGAAAATGTTCTGCCTTACAAGCAAGATCTCTTAACTTAGTAGTTCGGCACGCGTTTGGTTGCTGTATGAAAGTTACGTCTTTTTTTGGTACCTAATTAAAAAATCTACGTATTTTTGTCCTACAAAAGGCAGCACTTGGCAGACGGTTATAGAAAAATTAGGGAACAGATTTTGAAAAAAAATCGACTATTTCGAGGTCGAATCTTAAGAACTTTCGGGGGATTGATCATAAAGAAAAAAAATACACTGGAAAGAATCTGCTGCAGAAATAATTTGGGTCCCCACTGCTCCCTGTAAAAACACAAGTTTTCTTTCAATTCAAATATTTTGTAACTCGGTACTCGGTGAAAGGTTTTTTTTTACTCTAAAAAAGTGTTAAGGCGTACTTGGACCATTCAATTAGAAAATACATTTTTGTGAAGCAATCGACTAATTTAGAAGGAAACAAACACGCGAAAATCACAAGTTTTCTTATTAATCTTGTGACGTTTAATAACAGCTATTTTACTTTGCAAAAAAAAATGGAATTGCTTTTTTGTTACCGACTTAAACGTTTTTCGCCGACGAACCTGATTGTAATATCAACCATATCTTTCTTAGATTAAATTCCGAATCCGGCACTGGTGAGTTTGAATCGGTTGCAAAAAAATATTTAAAATTCCAAGGCTTTGTTTATGAAAAAACCATCTCATTGGCCCAGCAGCAATTAAACTTATGACCATTTCTTCATCATACATTCGATCGGTAGTTGGAAAAAATTAATACAAAACTGTATTTTTTATTCGATGTGTGAGCGTTTTTATACCCAGATATTTTATTGGGGGCGATTTATTCTGGGAGTCCAGTCCTGAGGCTGAAGAAAGCAAAGAACGTTTGACGTTACCTTTTGCAATGCAGCACTATTATCATAATCACTGCGCCTATTAGTGCGGAACTCACTGATACGATTACCAGTGTCAGAACCCAGCCAAGTTCTCCAGCTGATTCTGTAACGAATGAGATCCAATTAGTTACATTTGCGTAAAACATAAACCTTAGAACCGTGCTTGATTACTCAACTTTAACTAATTCCTAACCTCTAAAGAGAGAGGAGTAAAAATGTCCTTCAGCTGAAGGACTGAAGCTTCAGAGGAATCTTCCAAGATTAACAGACCAAATCTTCGAAACGGTTGAATTTTTTTCCGATAGCGTGTACTGATGACTGTGTCTCTCACTACTCAAATTTAATCAGTTACTAACCTCTAAACGAATAGAAGCAGAAAAAATGCCTCATTTTATCAAAGGCTTAAATGAGGTCAGAGTCAATTCATCGGCTTTTGTTTTTCTAAATAGTTTGAGCTTTGTCGGCGATCGCAGAGAATTTTAGACGTTTAAACATGAGTTTTTCAAAAATTCGCCGAGTAAAAACCAAAAATTTCTGAATGCTGCCCATAACATCACTCAAAAGAGAAAATCGGCTGCTTTAAGCGAGGAAAAACTTATTTGAATAGGAAATTGCTGGGAGCTTCCAGGATGTTTTCAGTTCCGAAAGGAAAGCGATTCGCCGTAGGTAAAGATAGAACATGACTCGAAAGAGAACAATGAGGAAAACATCACTTTAAAAGGAAATTTCTGGGAGTTTTCAGGATTTTTCCAGATACTAAATCGAAGCGATTGGCTGTTGGAAGAGACGAATTTTTCAAAAATTTTACAAGAAAAAGCTTTAATTTTTTCTGGGAGTTTTCAGGGTTTTTGCGAATACTCAACCGAAGCGAATGATCGTAGGACAGCACGGATTTTTCAAAAATTCGCCCAGGAAAAACAATAAATCCCTGAATCCGGCTCACAATATCACTCGAAAAAAAAATTTTTAAGTGTGAAAAAGCAAATTTTGATTTTTTCTGGAAATTTCTGGGAGTTTTCAGGGTTTTTGCGAATACTCAACTGAAGCGAATGATCGTTGGACAGCACGGATTTTTCAAAAATTCGCCCAGGAAAAACAAAAAATCCCTCAACCCGGCCCATAATATAACTCCAAAGCGAAAATCCGCAGCTTTAAGTGAGCAAAAAGTCATTTTAATAGGAAATTTCTGGGAGTTTCCAGCATTTTTTGAGTTTCGGTTAGTCTCATATGACCATCTTTTTTTTAGTTTTTGAGTGTTTTGAATTGAAAGTTAATTTCAATTATTGCTTTTCTTTCTATTGCTCTTCTGCTTCAATTAGCGGTCGATTATCCTCGGGTTGCCGGCCAAAGTCGACTGCCAATCCAAATAGCTTTTCCGCTGCTTTCAGTTTGATGTAGATTTTCATCGATATTTCCCATACTTTCCTTTCTCCTGTTTTTAAAAAACATCTGTTTATTTACGTCCAGTTTCGGTCTCGGTGTTGCAAAACAAGCAAGACGTTTTTTCGGCTCAAAAAACCTCAACGATCCACCTGATAATCGAAATTGTTGGATCAACTCGACCCATCATAGATGTATATTCTTATCCAACAGCTTGTCGCTAGTCGCATAATGACTTCATGTAGAATTTGTGCGTGCTGTAAAATGCTGGCGCCTTCAGCCAAACTGATCAGCATCTAATAGATGTGTAATTACCATCGTTTTCAAATCGTTCCACTTTGAATGTGCATGCTAAACTCAAGAGATATGAGGGATAATTCATTCGTATCTCTCCAGCTGAACTTGGCCTGCCTGCCTGCCTGCCTGCATCATTCATTGTTCATATATATCGAAAAATTCATTTACATATTCCGATTATCGCAGGAAAATAGTTAAATGGCATTAAATTAAAAGGCGAGCGCAGCAAACATGGAGGCTGGCTTAGGGCGAATCCGATTACGGATAGAACCTCAATGCAATCAGATCAATAATTGTTTGAGATTGTAGATGATTTTAGTACCGGGTCGAAGGACTCAAACAATTTAAAAAATACCGCAATTGTATTTACAAGTCGCTTTATCTCATGTTCGAAGGAAAGCATCCATATCTTGGAAATGATGGTGTTTAAAACTTCACCAGCATTATTCAAATAAGCCTTTGTTCGAACAGCAATTACACGTAATTATTAGCCGCTTTTTTTCCCTTCAACAACAGAAAACTAGTTATGATAGCGCACAAAACCATCAATTATTACGTTCAGACATTCCATTCTAGAATGCTTTCGGGCAATTTAAAAAATCGCCTTATAAATCGGTTTTTAACCGCCGTTAATGACTCTCGCTGGTTACAGCTAATTCGATGCAATTTGACTTCCAGTTAACGTTAAACTAATAAACGATGTCTAAATCCGAAAATAAATTAAGGGCCAATTTTGCATTAAAAAACATTGCAAATCGCTTACCTCTGCCTTCGAAACTAATCGCCTGCCCATCTTGCATAGCCCAAGAGCACAGATCGCACGTGGTCACTCCATCAGGAGCCACGTCTTCTAGAAACCAGGGTCGTGGTGGTGGAGGCACAAAGCTCAGAAAGCCTCCATCCGATGGGTCGAATGCGGGTGGCAAATCCTCGTCCCATGGCCAAAGCTTCAGATTTTCACTGTGGTTCGAACTCGATGGGACATCAGCCTGGAACAACATGCGTTTTATCCTCAGATTAAGCATTTTTCTAGGGAAGCAACAAGCATGACGATGAGTAGCATCCACAAAAAAAATTCAGGAAAACAGTAGCCAAGAATTTTGTTGAAGTTTAAGATGGCAATTACAAGAAAACACAATCAAATATTCAATATTTTATAGGAAAATTATAGTAAGGAGAAATGGACTGGATTCGTATGTTCGGCAATTTCTCGTGTTAATCTGGGTATTAAGAAACTGTTTAACTTAGAAGAAATGCCGATCGATAGAATCCACCAGCTTTGCCTATTTTTTCAAGTCTTTGATCTTATAAAAACAGAATTCAGTTGATTCTTTCAGTAAACTCACACTATTCAAGCAGGGGCGGATCCAGCTTTAAATTCAGGGGGGAGGGGGTTATGTAGAAAAAAGTTAGTCTTCTGTTGTCTATGAAATTAGAAAAATTATCGTCGTTTTGTGCAAGGGTGACGTAAGATTATTGCAAAATTTCATGTTTTCCGTCCCGTTTTGCATGTTTCTCGGAAGCA